TTCTCTGGTTGTACACAAAGTAGAGTCACACCATTCATGTCTTCATACATGTACTTAGGATAATGATGTCCATCTCATTCCATCATCTTTCCTACCTCCATCCCTTCTCCTCCCCTTTGCCCTATTCAAAGTTCCTCCTCCACCCCCATTATGAATCACTATCCACTTATCAGATAAAACATTTGATCTTTGGTTTTTTGGGATTGGCTTACTTCACTTAGCATTATATCCTCCAACTTCATCCATTTACCTGCAAATGCCATGATTTTATTCTCTTTTATTGCCGAGTAATATTCCATTGTGTATATGTACCACAGTTTCTTTCTCCATTCTTCTACTGAAGGGCATCTAGGTAGGTTGGTTCCACATTTTGGCTATTGTGAATTGTGCTGCTATAATCATTGATGTGGCTGTGTCCCTGTAGTATGCTGTTTTTAAGCCCTTTGGGTATAAATCGAGGAGTGGGATAGCTGAGTCAAATGGTGGTTCCATTCCAAGTTTTCTAAGGAATCTCCATACTGCTTTCCAGCTTGGTTGCACCAATTTGCAGTCCCACCAGCAGTGTAAGAGTGTACCTTTCCCCCTACATCCTCGTCAACATTTGTTGTTGCTTATATTCTTAATAACTGCCCTTCTGACTGGAGTGAGATGAAATCTTAGTGTAGTTTTGATTTGCATTTCTTTAATTACTAGAGATGTTGAAAATTTTTTCATATATTTGTTGATTGATCATATATCTTCTGAGAAGTCTGTTCAGTTCATTGACCTATTTATTGATTGGGTTTTTTTTTTTTAGAGTTAATCTTTTTGCGTTCTATATATATCCTAGAGATTAGTGTTCTGATGTGCATGTGGTAAAAATTTGCTCCCATTCTGTAGGCTTTCTATTCACCTCACTGTTTCTTTTGCTGAGAAGCAGCTTTTCAGTTTGAAACTATCCCATTTGATTCTTGATTTTATTTCTTGCACTTTAGGGGTCTTATTAAGGAAGTAGGGGCCTACTTTTTTTCCTATTAGGCACAGGGTCTCTGGTCTAATTCCTAAGTCTTTGATCCACTTTGAATTGAGTTTTGTGCATGGTGAGAGATAGGTGTTTAATTTCATTTTGCTACACATGGATTTCCAGTCCTCCCAGTACCATTTGTTGAAGAGGCTATCTTTTCTCCAAGATGTTTTTGGCACCTTTTTTAAAAAATATTTTTATTAGATGTTGATGGACCTTTATTTTATTCATTTATTTATATGCGGTACTGAGACTCGAACCCAGTGCCTCACACATGCTAGGGCAGCAGTCTACCATTGAGCCACAACCCCAGCCCTGGCACCTTTGTCTAATATGAGAAAACTGTATTTATATGGGTTAATCTCTGTGGTATAGTTTAAGGTCTTGTATAGTGATGCCACCTGGTTCACTCTTCCTGCTAAGGATTGCTTTAGCTCTTCTGGGTCTCTTATTTTTCCAGATGAATTTCATGTCTACTTTTTCTATTTCTATGAGGAATGTCATTGGGATTTTGATCGGAATTGCATTAAATCTGTATAGTGCTGTTGGTAGTATGGTCATTGTCATATATACCCTTTATGATGTTGAGGTAAGTCCCATCTGTCCCTAGTTTCTTCAGTATTTTTATCATGAATGGGTGCTGAATTTTGTTGAAGGCTTCTTCTGCAGCTATTGAGATAAACAGAATTGAGGACAAAAATCATAGTTATGTGGGGAATTATATTTATTGATTTGCATATGTTATGTTAAATCATCGTGCATCCCTAGAATGAAACCAACTTGGTCATGATATATATATAATTTTTTTTTTTTTTGCTACTGGGGATTGAACTCGGGGCTGGGGATATGGCTCAGTGGCTGAGTGTCCCTATTATTTTATTTAGAGACAGGGTCTCACTGAGTTGCTTAGTACCTTGCTATTACTGATCCTCATGTCTCAGCCTCCTGAGCTGCTGGGATTACAGGCATGTACCACCCTGCCAAGCTCACTTTGTCTTGCAGCTCCGAGATTCCTTCTGCATGGTCTACTCTATTAGAGACTTTTATTTGAACTTTTTGATTTATTATGGTTTTTCTATCCAAGATTTGTTTGGTTCCTTTTCAATATCTTCATCTCCTTATTGAATTTCTCGTTCGTATCCTATACGAACTTCATTCAGTTGTTTTTCTGTGTTCTCTTGGAATTCATTGATAACTTATGTAATCATTATTTTGAATTCTTTATTGGGTATTTCATTCAGTTGAGTATCTATGTAGACAGTTGTTGGTGAATCTTGAGCTTCAGAAGATGTTATGACCTTGTTTCCTCCGTATTTTCTGTATTCCTGTGGATTTCTCTTCCACTCTTACGTGTGGACCATTTTAGGGCACAGTCTTCTCTTGGCAAATTGTTCTGGGATATCAGGTTGTTGGGACTTTTTTCAGTATTGTTTCCCTGCTAGTTCTTTGGTGAAGAGTGGCATATTTCAATACTGCATATATTGTGTCAGAGCTTGAGGATCTCACTTTTCCTATAGGTCTTACAAGAGTGGGGTTATTCTCGTAGATCAGTTAGTCTTGTATATAGCAGAGGATGTGTGGTACTCCCTCTGTGATTGCTCTTGTAGACTTAAAAACTCAATATTCTGAAGGGGTATGGCAACAGTCCCAAAAGAGACCCCTCATTGGTGTGTTATGGACACTGACTCCTAACGCAAAAATAGAGACATGAGTGGGATCTTGGTGCCTGGTTGTTTTGGGGTTTTTATCTGTTATTTGTACTAAAGTATTGTTTGAGCATCATTAGTTTGGATGTGGAGCAAGGCACACTGTCTCTTGGCTGGATGCTGTGTAGCTATATACTTATAGTGTCACAGTAAAGTCCCAACACGGAGTGGCCTGGAACTGAAGCTGAGAACTATTTCAACCAGCTTTCCTTCTCATCAATATAAAGTAGATGGAATGGGAAGCACTGTGGATTGGAGTTTTGTCTGTACAGACGACATCAGTGCATTCCCGGGTGGGGCTGATACATGGTTCTAGCAGCTGGGGTTTAGCTCTCATCATAGGGACTTTGTTGGGTGGTGTCTCACTGAGAAGCAGTACTCCTGCTGCTTGAGTCATGAACAACTAGAAGATGCAACTTTCCTCTAATCCACTACCTTGAACTTGTCTGGATTGGCATTTTTGTGGGCTTGCCTGGTCACATATATAGTATTATGCACAGGTAGAGAATCTTTACCCTTAGCTCACCTGTGGCCACACCTTCCTTTGCTTTCTTAACTGAGAACATTCTAGTTTCTGTTATCTGTGCTCAATAAATGAGCTTTGGAATCTGATGAGGAAGGGAGAGCTGACTTAAAATCCTGACTTGGAGAGAATGGTAGTAAATTGCTTTTGTTGAGTGCTCTGATAAGGTAGGCAGTGTAGTTCCTTTAGTCCAGAAATTTCAACCTTTTGGGAATATATGGAGGAAACTAATTCTACTTATGGTGTTGTCATAATTTTGCTTGTATATTTACATTTTTGAGATAGTTTTATTAGATATCTTTTATTTTAATTTTGTGTATATATCTAGCATTACTTTGAACTTCATTTCAGGTACTTACAGAACATTTGCTTAAAGATTATTGGTTCTAGGATTTGCTTTTATTCCATTTAAGGCTAACAAAACACAGGTATTCTTGAGACAAAGCTCTTAATATGCTCACACACACCTCAAATACTTTTTATTTTCTTATAAGAGGAAGATTTTTTAAAAATCTCAATACTTGCTTCATACAGGAAAAACTGAGTTAAGCAGTTAAGTACCTTGCTCAGGGTTTGCCAGGTGAGTAAGTGGTACAACCAGGATTAGAACTCCCTTTCTCTGAGCCTGTCCTCTTATCCACTATATACAACCCTTAGGATCCCTGTTTGTAGCTGGATGCAGTGGTGTGTGCCTATAGTCCTAGCTTCTCGGGAAACTGAGTATCACTTGAGGCCAGCCTGGGCAACATAGCAAGACCTCAGTGTGAGCTGCCAGTTCTGCATCTCTAGAACAAACTTAAAACACTATTTTAGAAAGGCATTGTAATTTCTCAATCATTTGAATGCATTCATTGGTTTGGAATAATGATGACTAATCCCAGAGAGTTTTGATTTAAGACAGAAGAAGTTGAGAGATATTTACTTTAAGAAACTGATAAAAATACAGATTCTGCTATCCCTGGAAGTGATTTCTGTTTTATGATGAGTCATCTGGACTGTGTGGAATATAATTTGGCCAGTATCTTTTAAACAAAAATAACTCAGTATGTTGCTTTATTAAACTTTAAGAGGAAATATTCAGAGATTTGCTAATTTCCCTAGAGAGGGATAAATTGCTTAGATGACTTAAAGTGCACAGTTGGTATTTATTTAAATGGTAATTTTTTTTAAAGTAATTAGGGTATAAGTCTTATCTTCTTTTATCTCAGTTTAAAGGAATAGGGGTTGGGGCTCAGTGGTGGAGTGCTTGCCTAGCATGTTTGAGATGAGGCCTTGCGTTTGACTGCAATTATACATAAAATAAAGGTCTATCAACAACTGAAACTAAGAGAAGAATCTGAGGTTAGGCAGAATATTTATTCTGTGGTAGAACAGATTACTGTAACTAACTTAGCAAGATAAGCTTAATATCCATGAAGCTTGTTCTCACTAGGCTTATCTGTACAGGGCTTGACACATGTAGATAAAAATCAGTGTAAGAAAATGTAATGTTTAAGAGTTGTATAATAAAATCTCTTATAGCTGTAAACTAAAATCCTGAATCTGGTGTGTTTTACCCTTCTTTTTCAGTGTTATCCTTCTCTTTCCTTACTACCCCATTACTGGTCATGTTTTTCCAAGAAGATCCTCCCATTAGTTTGCAGAAAACACTGGGAATACCATTGGAGAAAATGTCAGACGGAGGCAGTACACACCTTGGGAGTGGTGGGGGCGTGTCCTCAGAATGCCCTCGCCCTCCTCTTACCATGCTGCTTCTCATTCTATGCAGTGTGGCTTCCTGTTGTGGTGCATGGCCCCGAGTCCTTCTAATGGGGCTGAATTTCTCTACAAGCGCATCATTCGTCCTTTCTTCCTGAAGCACCAGTCTCAGGTGGACAGTGTGATGAAGGACCTGAAGGACAAAGCCAAAGAGACTGCAGATGCCATCACTAAAGAAGGTAAGAGTCAGGGACAACTTGGTGTTCAACACATGGAGGAGATGTGATACACTGGGCTTCATGGCCTTCTTGTCCTCTCAGCTTTCCTTAGTTAAATGCAAAGACCACTAAATGGATTTCTTTAGGACAAGTTTGCCCATTGCCCTTTACCTTTTTTTTTGGGGGGGGGGGGGGGGGGGGGGGGGAACCAGGGATGCTTAGCCAGAGCCACATTCCAAACCCTTTTTGAAACAGATTTTCCCAAAGTTTTGTTGAGACTGGCCTCCAATTTGCAATCTTTCTGCCTCAGCCTCATGAGTTGCTGGGATTCTAGACACACCACTGTGCCTGGCTTGCCCTTTACTTTTCCCAAGATCCTTTGTGACTCATTCAATGCAGCATTCAGTAGCCTTCCATAGGCAGAGATTTTAGAGATTCATCTACATGTAGCCTCTTGCGACTGTTTTTGTTCTTGGTCCCAGAGAATGCCTTTTCTCAGCTCCCCTGATGGAGTTATTTAGATGCTTTTTTGTTGAGATGTTGCGTGTGTCCCTAGATTAGTAATGAACCAGTGAACCCAAGAGACTATAATCCTTGAATCTTATAGTTAAGCAGCTAGAAAGATAGGGAGTACCAGTCACAGGAGGGATGTTTACAGTTTTAAGTAGGAAAATCAGGAGACCCTTACCAAGAGGGCTATATTGAATCAGACTTGGACATAGTAAAGGAGGGAACCATGGGAATAGTGCTCCAGAAGGAGCTGCAAGTGCAAAAGCCCTAAAGTAGGAACAGTAAAGGAGGTGACCTAGAGGGGTAAGGGATAGCAGGAGGCGACACCGTCAGAAAGTTCTGTATGGAGACAGGATGACAAATCACAGAATAGCTTATAGGCTAGTGGGAAGGCTTTGGTTTTTAGTCTGTGTAAGAAAGATAAGGTGCTATTGGAAGATTTTGAGCACAGGATCAACATGATCTGCTCTGTGTATTAAGATGACTGTGGCTATTGCATTAAGAATGGATTAGATGGGGGCCAGGGTTGTGTCTCAGTGGTAGAGCGCTTGCCTAGCATGCGTGAGGCACTAGGTTCAATCCCCTGTTCCACATAAAAATAAAAATGGATAAAATGAAGGTATTGTGTCCACCTATAACTAAAAAAAAAATGAATTGGAGGGAGAAAGGGAAGGAAACTGGGAGACTAGCTAAAAGGTTATTGCAGTGATCTGTTTGAGATGATGGTAGTACCTTGGTTTGTACTAGCAGCAGTAGTGGGTAAGAAGTAACCTACTTCTGAAGTAGAACCAATAGGATCTGCTTAAAATCAGACATGAAGACAGAAGTCAAGGCCAAACTTTTCAGCCTGATCAGGTGGAAGGAGAGAATTGCCACTGAGCTGGGAAAGACTGGATAGTACAGATTTAGATGGGGAGAAATAAGATAACTCCAGAAGAGAATTCCTTCTCAGCCAGTTGGATGCAGATGTTGAGAGTTCAAAAAACAAGTGTGGATTGTGGGTAGAAGGGAGATGAGAAACAATCAGCTAAATAGACCAGTAGGGAAAAGGAAGTCAAGGTGGGGTCCTTGGGCCAAACAAAAAGATGTTTCAGAGGAGGAAGTGTGATCCATTGTCACGTGCTGTAGACAAGTTAAACTAGGTGAAGAGGAACCACTGGACTTAGCCATGGGGAAGGCACTAGTGATCTTGAGAAAACAGATTTTTGTAGAATGCTGGGAACAAAACACTGATTGGGAGAGATGGGGAAAGGCATGAGGAATATGGACAGCTGTTTTGAGACAGTCCCTGTGAAGGGGAGTAGAAGAATGGGCTGTAACTGGAATATGGATCGCGGGTTCTGGGAAATTTAAAAGTCTTTAAGGTGGGAGAAATAATACATGTCTGAAAATTAATGAGAATGCTTCAGTAGAGAGCAATTGCTGAGCCCTTGAGTAGACCAGAAATAGGATTGAAAATACAGAGAGGCATTGGGCAGAGGAGCCGCAACATTTTATAACAGAAATCAAGGTTTTTGTTGGTAGAGATTTTAAGTAGGAAAACTTTGAAGTAATCAGAAAATATCTTCTACTTCCTCAGTAAAGGAAGAAGAAAGAAGGCCAACTGAAAAGTGATGGGAAGGGGATGGGTGTGAGCAGTTGTCTAGGACAGGGTTAACAGACTGTCCCTAAAGGGCCAGATACACATTTCAGGTTTTGTGGGCCATCCGGTCTCTGTCGTGATGCTCAACTCTGCCATTATGCTGTGACAGCAGCCCAAAAAAGCAATTAAGGGAGTATGGCTGTAGTCTCATGGCCTCTCTAGGACACTGCCAGAGTAAATGGACTGAGACACTGTCATGTGATTCCAGGCAGTGTGAAAGGCTCACCTGAGACTTGTGTTTGCTTTTCTACAGCCACACTCACCTGCAGAGTAGGTGGAGAGCTGTGGTTTTAAAAAATTTTTATAGATGTACACAATACCTTTACTTATTTCTACATGGGTGCTAAGGATTGAACCCAGTGCCTTCCACATGCCAAGCAAATGCTCTTATCACTAAGCTACAACCCCAGCCCCGAGAGGGGTGATGTTAAGAGTTGCGAGGTCAGAGTGGGACTGTGGCTGATGTTGGTGACAGTTAAGCTGGTGAAGAGGGAAATGACAGGAGGACGCCTCTGAGTGAGGGAGTGAGCTACAGAGGTAAGTTTGTTCTGACTTGCAGCCTTTGTGTTCTCTCACTTGTGGATTGCCAGTTTTGACATTTTTCAGCACTGGGATTTGAACCCTGGGGAGCTCTACCACTGAGCTATATACCCTTGGCCCTTTTTAAAAATTTTTTGTTAGTTGTAAATGGACAGAATGCCCCCCCTTTTTTAAAAAAAATGCAGTACTGAGGATTGAACACGTACTAAGCAAGTGCTCTACCACTGAGCTGCAGCCCCAGCTGGCCCTCAGCCCTTTTTACTTCCTTTTTTTAAATTTTGAGACAGTCTGTTAAGGTGCTAAGGCTAGCCTCAAACTCATGATCCTCCTGCTTCAGCCACCTGAGTAGCAGGGATTACAGGCATGCTTTATGGCAATTGGTGCCAGTTTTTTAAGAGCTTTCTTTTCTATCCTTCCTTGCCCAAGCCTAACTGGCAACCCATGGTAATATCATTTCTGCCTAGTTCACCCACATTTTATTGCCTCTTGGTTTTCATACAGTATATCAATACTCAAATTCAATTTAATTTGATACGACATTCCAAATCAGGGACATAAGAATTACTAATTATTTGACACCTTTTAGATGTCTCGTTCTGGGTGCTTTTTACATAGGGCTATTGAGAAAGAGGCTGCAGTTTCTTTAACTTTGTTTAGCAACTTGAGTAAATGGAGCTGCTTCCAGGCAGTTGACAAAGAGAGACTCCGGGCTCCATCAAGAACAGCTGCAGGGGCTGGGGTTGTGGCTCAGTGGTAGAGTGCTCACCTAGCATGCAGGAGGCACTGGGTTCGATTCTCAGCACCACATAAATGTAAAATAAGTTTTTAGATGGACACAATATCTTTAATATTTAAAAAAAAAAAAAAAAAAAACAGCTACAGTTTACAACCTGACTGGAAGCTTCTAGACAAGCCTCCCCCACCACCATCTCACACACCACACTGGTTCTTGTGACAGGAAGTGGCCTGGAATGTGTCATAGGAGGGGTGGCCCAGTTAGTATAAATATTTGTAGTACTGGCACGAGGACTTTCTAGTTTTTGTCACCATGGGACAACACAACTTGGTTCTCATCAGGTTGATGAGTAGTGAAATCTCATAGGAGAGTAGCAAATGCAAATGAGAATTTGAATATACAAAGAACGCTACTAGGAATCTCTGACTCTTTTGATGCAGAAAGGAGGACAGATAGTTTGGGAGACACTACTACACAAAGAAGCAAGGCTAGATGAACTTCAAGTATTTCACTCATGTCTTCAGAATTTGTGCTCAGAAGAGGTGCCGGGTCTATTTCACGGAAACCCTCACAGCCCTGACCACAAACCCATGTGTGCTGTCATCTGCACATGAGTCACCCGAGCTCCGTTATCTAGTAGTTACCTTAGCCACACAGCTTATATTGCCAAAAGTTTTGATAAAATTTTCTTACCCTCTTAACAGCCAAGAAAGCTACGGTGAATTTACTGGGTGAAGAGAAGAAGAGTACCTAAACCCTTGAACGGATGGAGCCTTCCCGCCCAGCCCCCTGTACCTTCCTCTTAGAGCTTGACATTATCTGTGGTATAATCATTTTAATGTTGCCTTGGAAACATTTTTTGATATATTAAAAAATGGAATGTGTTGTAAGGGTTTTTTTTTTTTTGCTTTTACTGTCTGTACATTACATAGGGAGCATTTTAATTTAATGCAGTGGCAGTATCTAAATTTTTGAAAATATATTTTGCCTCTAGGTAGGAAAAGACATGTATGTTACTATCCTGAAGGAAATGTAAACTAAAAATAAAATTTGTATATCCCACAGGCTCTGTACTTTACTGGGCTTACTCTGCATGCATTTTCTCTAAACATTTAGGAAATCTTCATGGTTCTTCTTCATATAAATATTTTTAGTGGATTTGTGTGTATACATAGACAGAAGTGTTACTATGACGTGCATAGTGCTTATGGGGAAGGGGCTAGGAGAAGATTGTATATGCCATTTATAACTTCTGTATAATAAGACCACCTGCCTCAAGCTGGTAGGATTTGCTAAACATACTTCAGAAAATGAACACACATCAGTCATATTTAAAAAAAAAAAAAGTGAGAAATGAGGTTGAATGGAAGTCAGCTTGGTTATTTTCCTAACATGGTAGCCCTGAATGCCAGGACAGCTTTTTAGAGTAGTCAGTCACTTTGGCGACAATTGGGGAAATGTACACACACATAGTAACCTGTAACTCCCAATTTTCTGTAGAAATAGTACTACTGTCTTATCTGCCTACTAGCCTTACGTTTGTCTGTTTCTAAGATGCTGAAGTGAAAACCATTCCTGTTTTTACTTTTAAAGGTGAGCAGCATGTTGGTTTGGTCTTTTCCTTCCTCCCAGTTGTCATGTGCTTGTTAATATCGTGAGCAGCAATGTGCCTGCCATGACGCACAGCTCTAGGAGCAGCTCTGTGGAACGGAAAGGGAGCATGCAGCCTGTAATCTGGTTGGCAGTGCTTAAGTTTAACTGCCTTTGACCTTTAAGGTCAGAGAAAAAGTTAAACTCAGAGTCCTCTTCAGTTGACAAGAATTATTTGTTGTCCATTTAAATGCCTTCATGATAAGTGACTTATGACTGCATAGTTGAAGTACAGAATAAAAAAGTTGAAATGAATGCCTCTAGCTTGAATGGCTAAACAGCTTATAGAGCTCTGGGGTAGACAATCTGAACTTCACATCATTCTGTTAGGATCCTTTTGAATTAGACTAAACTAGACCAAAATACATGTATAACAAAATAAGATTAAATATCCAGCCAGTTGGGCTGGGGTTGTCGCTCAGTGATAGAGCACTTGCCTAGCATGTGTGAGGCCCTTGGTTCGATCCTCAGCACCACATAAAGCTGAATAAGTAAAACAAAGGTTCTGTGTCTGACTACAACTAAAAAATAAACATTTTTTTAAATGCTTAAAAAAAATATCCAACCAGTAAAATACTTTTTTTGTTTAAATTGAGCTGGGGCATTTTACAACTGAGCTACATTCTCAGCCCTTTTTATTTTGAGACAGTCTTACCAAGTTGCTAAGGCCTTATAACATGCAATTCTCCTGCCTCAGCCTCCCTAGTCACCAGATTATAGGTGTGTACCAGTTCGCCTGGCTCAGTAAATACTTTTAAAGAAAATAAATATGAATAGCTTTCATAAGATGATATATCATGATGTAAAAAAAAATACCCTAATATACATCAGAGCATTTATTTTTCCTGGGAAAACTGATTATTAGGCATCTTATTACTTAAAAAAATGAAGTTTTTAGAAAACAAGCAAAATTGTTATTGTAAGAAAAAAAATCAAGCCTACATTAAAAAGAAATTTCAAAGCATTTAAATCCATTTCTCATAAATAAAAACACTTTCCCTGGTGACAGAGGAATGAAAACTAGCAACTTCTAGTATATAGAATATATGATTGGATTGTTAGTATATAAAATATATTATCAGACAAGATGGGGAAGCATAAAATATTGCTCATAATTACAGATTATGTAAAAATATCAATGTAAATGCTATTAAAGTATATTCTAAATGCAGTTTTTTTTTTTTTTTTTTTTTTGTCTTGATACTACATCTGTCTCCTATAGTGTACCCTGTAAGAAATTTGTTTTGGGCAGTTGAAATGTGTTTTAATGGCAGAAGTTATTCAATTTCACCAATAAAATATTGCCATGATTAGAGTGTTTGAAAAACTACTTAAGCCTGTGTCTGGCTAGAAGACAAAAGCATTTGTTTGTACATGAATGGTATTTCAGGGATATAGAAAGTAACAGAATTCCTAGTAAACATTTGAAATTCTTCAAGATGAAGAAAATAATTCATTCAGTAATTCCTCCCTTACTGGAAAGCTTCAATCATTCAGATTAACAAAATAACTGTTCTCCTGGGAGAATCATCAACCCACAACTACAGACAAGGAACATAGCCTGCTGGATATGGTAGTGCACACCTGTAATCACAACAACTCAGGAGGCTGCAGCAGGAAGATCATAAGTTCAAGGTCAGCCTGGACAATTTAGCAAGACCCTGTCTCAAAATAAATAAGGGCTTGGAATCTACTCAGTGGCGAAGTGCCCCTGGGTCCAATCTTTGGTACCAAAAAATAAATAAGTAAACAACAACAACACACAAAAAAAATCCTTTAAATAAGTCATCACCTATCCTGAAGGTGTGACACACAGAATAGAAATGGATGTACAATATTCCCCCCTCCTCTTATCCAAGGGGGATATGTTCCAAGACCCCAAGTGGTTGTCTGAAACCTCAGATAGTACTGAATCCTATATATACATACCTATGATAAAAGTTTATAAATTAGGTAAATAACAAAATAGGACAATTATACCATAATAAAAGTTATGTGAATGTGGTGTCTTAAAATATCTTATTTTGCTGTACTATGTCTTTAGATTGGTTGATCTTGAATAACCAACTAAGGGAACCATGGGTAAGGGGGACTGCTGTACATAATGTTCATTTGTGTGTGTTAAATTTTTGCTCAAGTGGGGTTAGAGTTGAAAAGCCCCACAAAATAAATTGAATTATAATAGTTAAATGAGAACTGAATTTTATTAACCTCATTCCTCACCTAGCTTGCAATTGTCCACTGGTGATTACTGATCAGAGGAATACTTTCTCCAAAGAAATCATGCCAGCCAAAAAAGTTTATACCTGTAATTAGCACTAGATCTAAAGAATACTCAAGCTACTGCTTTCTTCCTGCATATAGCACTTAATAATATGTGCCTCCAAATCATTCTGTCTTTTAAGATAAAGAGACCAAGTTAGGGCTGGGCGCTGTACACACCTCCCATACACTCCAGCAGCTCGGGAGGCTGAGACAGAAGGATCACAAGTTCAAAAGCCAGCCTCACTGGGGATGTGGCTCTGTAGTCAAGTGCCCCGAGTTCAATCTTTGGTATACTCCCCCCCAAAAAAAAGTTGGGGAGGGGCTTAAAATTTTATTAAAACACCTACTGCTGGGCTGGGGGTATAGCTCTAGCATGTGTGAGACCCTGGGCTTAATTCCTAGCACCCCAAACAACCTACTTCTGGAGGCTGTGCTTGAATCAGTGGCCTCCTACATCACATCTGTTTGTTGTAATTGGTAATTTTTTACTATACTATAATCATGGTATTTAGGATAACAGAAGTACAATTCAGATCCTTAGCCATCAAATTTTATAGTTCTATATAGTATGACAGGAAAATAAATATATCTGAATATTAAAGTTTTTTTCTGGCTCCTGACTATAATATTAATTCAATATCTTTTATAGCACACATCTCACAAAGAGCAGAGAACAAGATGACCAAGTAGACGGGTTCAGCACTTGCCTCCTCCACAAAGAAAAGCCAAATTAACAGATGTATAGCTGCATTTTGAGATGAGTGACCATGGGAGAATACTGGGAATCAGCAAGAGAAAGACAAGAACAGCAGCAAAGGAAAAAAAAAAAAATACCATAGCATGTTCCACCTTGGCTCCACAGCTAGGAGAGGGGAGGTAGATAAGGGCAAAAAACTGATGCTAGCAATCCTACGTATTGGAAAGTTTCACAATCTTCACAGACTTGCAGCCCACTTAGATAAGTAACCTGCAATCTGCACAGTATTGTGGCTTTGGAAAAGGACTTCACATCTAGCAAACCACCCAGGGTGCTGGAGCCAGGAACCATCTTAAAAAGGGAAATAGTATCTAAATTTAAACAGCCCTAGGAGCCAGGAGGAAGCTGCCTCGTGAATCCAATTTGGTCCAGCAGAGTGACAGCAACCCAAGGCCACTGGGTGCTCTGCAGGATTGGAGACACGTTGTAGGAGGAAAACAGAGGACACGGCCCTTAAGAATCAGAAGACCAGGACTGGGGTTGTCGCTCAGTGGTACAGCGCTTGCCTGGCATGTGTGAGGCCCTGTGTTCGATCCTCAGCACCACATATGAATAAATAAAAGATCCATTGACAACTAAAAAAATATTAAAAATCATGAGACCAGGGAACTTGCCCTGCGAGACAAAGGGTGTGGCCAGCCCTATGTGAACTCATCCCAGTGCCAGGACTGAGGGCAAAGATCCATGGGTTCCTCCTGCCTTTCGGCTCCCAGCTCAGGAGCCTATTACTAAAAGGGAAGGAAGGAAACACCGACTCCCATTACTGCCCAAGGGCAAGGAGAAGCCCCTGAGCAACTGTGCCTTCTGTTGTCTCCCTGCCCACAGGTGCACACAGGGGGCTCCAAGGGAACTTTGCTTAGTTCTGGTTGAGGTCTTGTTCCAGGTCAAGCACTGCCATGCAAGCAGCAGAGATAAGCACTGCTGCCACCCTACATATGTGGTTCCCATCACAGTCCTACCTAAGCATTTTGTCTGACCATACACTGCTGCAGACTGGGTGTCACTGTCACTGAAGGGGTGCTGAAGTAACCAACACTGCCTCTCCCTTTGCAACATCTGGGCCCATACAGTGGTAATAGCCCTCCCAGAATAAAGGACTCTCCTAAGATAAAGGACAAGGCAACATGGCACAGTGAATATCTGTGCGCATGTGTAACTGTTGCAACTTTGCAACTCTATAGCCTAGGATACTTAATCAAACTGTGTTACCTATGTGGGAGACTAAGGAGGGGCTAACAAGTCAAAGAAACTAAGAAAGGGTATATAAGGCAATGCCCCAGCTGTGCTTGGGGCTCAGCCTTTGGATGCAAATCTGCTGAGCCAGTGCCAGCCCTAATAAACACTGCTTCCTGCTAAAAGCCTTGCTGTCCTGTTTCTCTGTGCAAGAATCCT